TCGGCGGCCGGGCGGGGTTGGGCTGGCTGCACTCCTGGGAAATGGAGTCCCCTTGCCCGGCACCAGGGCGATGGGTGGCTCCCCGGCCGGTTCTGGTGCCGGCGGCCAAGTTCTCGGGCAAGGGAGGGCCCCGCCGTAAACTTTGAGAAGCTGTCACCCTTCGCCGTCCGCCCCGGCCAGCGGTTTGACTCGGGCGCCTGCTGGCTCCTTCGAAGGGTGGGCGCGGGAGCCCCTCCATGCCCGTCCGCACCTCCGGGTCCCTGTAGCTACCTTTTGCATTCTGGCTCCCAGTGCGGGTTCGTGCCCAGCGGTCGCCGTAGCTGCTGCCTACCGGCTGTCGCCAACTCGTCAACTTGAGTTTTCTCTTGACTTCCAAGGGTTCCACCGAGCTTTCCAAAACAGGGGGCTGGAATTAAATCTTGAATCTAACTTATAGGAAGGCGCCATATTATTCCATAGGTGATGCTAATACCTTTGTGTTTTGCTATTTGTTTTTTAGGAAACATGCCCTGAACTGTCACAGAATGAAACCCGCGCTCTTCAGCGTCCTGTGTGAGATCAAAGAGAAAACAGGTAAGATGCTGCGCCCCCCCGCAGTGGGCATGGAGACCCCCGAGGTGAGGTCGGAGCTACTCCTTCCACTCTCCAGTTGAGAGCTGCTGCTTTTGGGCACCGCCATCTTTGATCATTCTCTCCTTCCCACCTTCTGATCTTGAGGAAAAAAACAAAACAAAAACCTGCAATAAATCTGAAGTCGATTTCTCAGTTCTGCTCCTGGTGTAAAATGAAGTGTAGATGCGTACGGGTCGCAGTCCCTAGATGGCTACCCCTGGCTGCAGGCAGGGAGGGGGACCCTGAGCGCCAGCACCCCTCTCCTGCTTCTTTTGCCTTGTTTGTATGTCAGTTTTTAAAGGGAGCAAAGGGAGACTGGATGTCAAAGACAGATTCCTGGGGAGAAACATCATCGGCTGAACTTTATTTTACTTAGACAGTCTTAAGCTTCAGCTCCTCAGACAGAAGAATAGTTACAATTAAACAGACCCCACTAGCATGTTTAAGTTAATGTTTTTGGTGCAAAGAATACTTTTATGAAGTGAGGGAGGGGTTATTGATGTGTCTAGACATGTATTATATTACATCTATTACATCTTATTAAATTTTATGCTTGAAGTTATCACATTTTTGCATGTACTTAATACAATAAAGTAGAAAACGGTTCGAAGATGTAGGTTAAACAATTTTTTGACATGTTCAAGTCAGGGAATATATGAGGAAATGGATTTTGTAAAGTGCTGGAATGAACATTTTTGGCAATTCATTTCAATTCAACTTTCTTGTTAGACTTTCTTATTCGGAAGCTATTTTAGACTTGAGGTGAATGTAGAGGTGCAAGCAGAAATTTTATTTAGATGCTTTCTTATGTGTTTGACAAATAAGTATATCAAATGTACTTTACTGTTGATGTCTTTATTTTTCTTTGTGTGTGTTGGATATATGGTATTTTTAAAGTTGCCATGTTTTTTTTAAGTTGGGCCAAAGAAGAAAAGTTAGAGTCCAGGATATTCGTATACCCAAGTGATGCTCTGTAAAATGTGATTGGTTTTAAATTGAGCATACCTTTAATAGCATACTGCACATGGTTGTTAAGTTGATGGGCCAGTTGCCCTCCTTTAAAACAGATTTTTTTACTTTGTAATATTACTCGGATCCTAACTATAGTCAAGAGAAAATGGTGGGTTATTGCTGTCTATTAAAATATATGCTACAACCAGAATAGCAAATATTTAGAGAGCCTGAGTGTACTTTCCCCGCTTTTTATTCACACAGTGTGCGTGGTTTGTTGAGGTTGAATATTTTACATTTTTAAAACCCTAGGCATTTTAAAATACCAACTTTTATTTAGTGCTGATTTTTTTAGCTAGCCTTTTAGAAAGCATGTGATTTCAGAAAGTAGACAATTTTGACCTTACTAGGATTATTAGGAGTCAGAATCAACTCAGTGGCAGTGAGTTTCGTGGAGCATAGCTTAAGACATCAAGCTTTAAATCTTGAAGATTCTGATTTTAGAAACTGAAATATGCGTAATTCTCTGTAAATTACGTCGCTTAATGTCCAAGGGTTTTCTTACTATCAGGCCTCCACTTCAGTTTCTGCTGACAGCTAAGCACTGGGGTATTGACTGTGTTGTGAATATTAAGATTGATTTAACTTTATACGGCATATGGTACTAGGGAGAGGGGATTGATACTCCTCTCATTACTTCTCATGATTTGTATTTTTTTCTTTTTAATTTTTTCAGGGGGGCGGTGTGTGTCTTTTTAAAGTATTGGCTTTAGCCAGCTTGAGAACCTAACCCAGCAAACTCCTTTTCTTGTTTAGACATTTAGCAGCAGGCAGAGTTCAATTAGGAAGCATAAGCCCTCTGGTTACTTATTTGCACAGGACTCAGCTACACCATTCTGAAAGGAAAGTATAGTCAACCACATGTCAAAGGTGAGTTACGGAAAAGAAGCAAGTCTTTTCAGAGTCTGGGATTACTGGTAGAGAGAGCTTTGGTAGGACTCTTGCTATCTAAGAAGCGAAGAGTAAGTGACAAAGGAAATTTTTTGTGTTTTGAAAATTGTGAGGCTTTCAGTGATAACTTGTAAATTAGATACTCTTTTTGTGCTTTGGCCAGCGGATCCAAGTTTGCTCGTTATCTCTTTTGTAAAGAGGCAGCAGCCCACAAAGAGTACAGGCTGCTGTCTGGGCAGAGGCATCTTTCTGCCCAGCCCTCTCTAAGCTTGAGAGAGACGGGGAATTTAAGTACTGAGTGATTGATGGGGGCGAAGCTCTTTCTCTCTTCTCCCCACAGCTTCATCTCCAAAACTGCTCTTAGAAGGAGATAGGAACACCGGATTCAGAATCCTTGTTTTTAAATAAAACAGCTGTAGATATTAGGGTTACTAAAGCAAGGAAAACGGGACAGTGGATTCCAGGGCCTACCCCATCCCCCGTCTGTTCCCACACATGGTTCTGAAACATCTTTCTTGTATAAAACAAACATAAAATGTGTATATTATATAATGCTTTTTAAAGACAATTTTATTTAATCTAATGATGTAGCAACCAAAGATTAATTCTTCACAATCAGAAGAAAGTTTACCTTGTCATTTGTAATAGAAACCAGGAACATGATGTGATGGCTCTCTTCAGCATTCATGGGACTTGATGAGTGGGGTGGGGGGGCGGGGTGGGGGCGAACTGTCACATCAGTGGAAAATGTCATGTCAATTGTGCTTCTTCTAAAATAAGATAAAATCATTAAAAGAAGCAAAGTTCTATGTATTTGTAGATCTGCCAGTAGATTTTGAGATTCCTGATCAGGCAGTGAACACTGCCAGTTTTGATGACATGAGGAATTTAGTTTGAAAAATATTCCTCCCATCGCCCCTCCCATATAAAAAAGGGGTATCTTTCCCTCTAACAGATAAATGGGTTATCTATCACAATTATATTATTTTCTTGTTTAAAGGTAGGAAAAGTACACTTTTACTATAAGATATTTGCTTTTTCTCAAAAATGTATTCTTTTTGTAAAAAATTATCAGCCCATTCTTTTGGGCAGAAATGTCTCGTTATTAAATTGTGATACATATGTATTTTGAAAGCAACCACAAAATTAAAGACTTTAAAATCAAGATATTTTTTCTTTTAAACTAAATAAGCAACCAGTCACGTAAGTGTTGATAATGCTAAGATTTTTCTTTGTTTTTAGCCATGTTTTGCCTCCTATCTTTTATTAAACTTAAGGTCTCCTTATCTGCGTACTTCTCTTGGTGTTGTCCCTGGCTTTTTTGGCTACCTTAATCTTGATAAAGTGCTTTCCTTTGTGATGTATTTCATCCTCATACATTTTCTTACCAAAACCTTTAATTATGGGAGTTTGCATGAAGGAGGAAATGGTTCTTTGTCAAGTAAAACAAATTATTTTTAATTTTGGGGGGTACAGAATTCCAGCATCTTAATATGTAATCTGAATTCTATTATTGTGAAAGGATATTTTGCATTTTAATAATAATAATAAAATCAACACAACTCCTTCCTTTTTAAACGTAGGTTAAAATACTTCATGTTGAAAGCTGCCAAACAAACTCTGATTTATTGCCACCACAAACCCTAAATAGCATTCATTTACTAGTAATGTCTAATGGCATACATGATGGTTTGCCAGATTTGTGGCCTTTGTGAGGCTTATAAGCAGGACTGACTTGGGAAGATCATAAAACTTAATGAACTTCTCTACTGCAGGAGGTGTCCGCAGGGGAGGAGAAAGGCCTGCTTGGCTGATTGGGCTGGTTGAAGTATTTTTTATGTTTAAGGAGAATAAAATGAGTCCTAAAATGTTTTACTTTTAAAGAAACCTTCCTTAGAAAAGAGTCAAGAATTTTAGATAACAAAACTAGATCAAGAATATATTTTATAAGTGAATTTTAAAATATACATTTAGGATATTATGTCAGACTAAACATTTTGTTTTTATAGCTATAAATGTGACTAGCTTTCAGAGGGACAGGGCACTACTCTTAGTGAACACCTGCCCATGTTATGAACTCAAAGGTTTAGAAACTCATCAGAGTCTTCCTTTTTTTGTCCATGTGCCATTCTGGTTTCTTCGTCGTGCACAATGTAAAAGTTTCTTATACTTTCTTGGTATGGTGAGTGCCATATCATTCTTTTAAATGATAATGCATAAAACCCAAATTCATCAAGTGATAATTTAAGAAGGGCGAAGATTGTTATATGTGGGACTAAATGTTGTCCTATATAGTGAATATATTCTATTAAATTTATCTTGTAATATTTCTAATTTAAGCATTGCTTGTTCCACACTTCTCAAAACAAATGTTCTATTCATAATTGTGTTTTAATAAAGTTCTAGTAAAAAAAAAACCCAAACAACTTTGTATTCAGGACACTTGAAAATACAGCAAATACATGTAGCAAGAAGAGAATCTTGAACCCCCATGAACTCAGCTTCAGCAATCAGCAACACTTGACCAATCTTGTTTTCTTTCTAAGTCCCTGTCTCCCAAGATTATTGTGAAGCAAATTTTAATGAATCTTTAATGTCTATAATTTCATATAAATTTCAGACACATAGCCTGTTTAAATTGAAAATGTCAAATGATTAAACAGGAAAAAATACAGTTATTAAATCTTGTAAATGCCATAAATTACATTGTTTTTCCATAAAATTTTCCTTAAGGCAATTTAAGAATATTTCTTTTAAAAATCAAGCGTTCTCTTTATTTTCATAGATCCATATAACTTACTAGAGGTCGTGTAAGAAATTTTAAGGGAGAATGCGGTAGTGTTTTTGTAAACTTCTCTTTACACTTAACCTTCTCCCACCTTTGTTAATGCATGCAGTGTAGTCAGTGAAAACCTGGGGGAGGAGGGTAATGGGTTACAATGTCATGAACTCAAATATTTTGAAAGTATTGAAAGTGTAGGGCTATGTTCTAACTTTTTTTTTCTTTTTCAAAATAAGATCTAGAACCCTCTTGTCGATATTAACTTGTTCTGTATAAA